GTATTTCCTCAGTATCTCTATGTCGTCCTGTATTGACAGCAGTTTTGGACGACTTGATAATGGTAAATACTTGATGGAATTCTTTTTTCCATGCGTGGAATGACAAAATATATTGTCGATGGGAATCTATCAAACATTTCCTATATGTATTTAATTGATCGGCCTTGACTATACATATATAAATTATTTTTTTAATTTGAATTGATCAACTCTTTTTCTTTGAACATTTTAAGAGCTTACACAGGAAGGATTTACAACATAATTATGCAAATTTCCAAAAAATATAATGTTAAATATTCCATATAACCACTACCTGAATAATGGGTTAATTAATGGGCAATATAACACGTGTTCAAGTATTCTAAAAGAGTTCTTAGAAAAAATTCGAATATTTTTGCGCAGTACCTGAAATTACCCTTTTTGGGTTTTTTCCATTTTTTGGAAACCAGTAATGAGTTTTTATTACTTTTTTCTTGTATTTCGTAAAAATAATAAAAATTAATAAAATTTCATTAACAAATTTTATTATTTTTAAAGTAGCATCATAAAATAACACAGTAATTCATAAAAAATAATAAATTCGAATATTTATGTGAGACACTGTATATATGTACAGTGTCTCACATAAATATTCGAATTTATTATTTTTTATGAATTACTGTGTTATTTTATAATGCTACTTTAAAATAATAATATTATTTAAAAATTTTTAATGAAATTTTATTAATTTATATTATTTTTACGAAATACAGGAAAAAAGTAATAAAAACTCATTAATGGTTTCCAAGAAAATGGAAAAAACCCAAAAAGGGTCATTTCAGGTACTGCGCAAAAATATTCGAATTTTTTCTAAGAACTTTTTTAGAATCCCTGAACACGTGTTATATTGCCCATTAATTAACCCATTATTCAGGTAGTGGTTATATGGAATATTTAACATTATATTTTTTGGAAATTTGCATAATTATGTTGTAAATCCTTCCTGTGTAAGCGTTTAAAAAGTTCAAAGAAAAAGAGTTGATCAATACAAATTAAAAAATTAATTTATATCTGTATAATCAAGGCCGATCAATTAAATACATATAGGAAATGTTTGATATATTCCCATCGACAATATATTTTGTCATTACACGCATGGAACAAAGAATTCCATCGAGTATTTACCATTATCAAGTCGTCCAAAACTGCTGTCAATACAGGACGACAGAGAAATACTGAGGAAATACCGTAGGAACCATCATCTATCAGCTCCAAAAATTAACAACGAACTCAGGACAGTCCTGTGAATAAAAATTAGTGTCGAAATTGTGCGCAAAATACTACGGATATATATATATATATATATATATATATATATATGCAGTGTAACTATGAAAGTCAAGGTAAACTATGAAAAGAAACCAAATTTAATAACATATTTTGTGTGCAAAAAAAAAAAAAAAGAAAAATAAATTAATTTGTTATATTGTCTACACAGTCCTTAGGTTTGATATCACGCTTTTTAAAACTTGAAAAATTTACATTTACTTAAATCAAATTAGCTTTTTTTAAAAAAGTCCATAATATTACTTCACAAAAGTATACGAATTTTTCCTGTATTTCATATTTGATCATATTATACGAAACACAAATTTTAGAATCGAATTGTTTTTATGCTTTAAATTGTTTTAAGGGGTTACTATCAACCGAAATGATATAGTATTTTTGGCACATTTGGTCCACAATTTTTGGGGATTTGTACCCTCTTTTTATGTAATATCATATTTTCTCTTTTTTCCAGAGATAAAACCAAAATTTGATATTGGGATTTAATAGACCCCTTGGAGTATATAAAAATAGTATTTTTTGTTACAAGAATCTGTATTTAAACGATCCAAGATATATTATTGACATCATTATTCTGTCGCTAATTCAATATATTGGATATTCAATATATTGAAGTCCATTTTCATAATACTAGGGTCAAAAATTTTCAGGGAAAGTTTTCTTGTATATATTCTCTTAGATATCAGCTTTTATATATTTTAAGTTTTCAATGTATTGTGGAAGTGTACAACTCCAAAACATGCCTCAAAGAAACACCATTCAATATGGTAGAATCATTATTTTTATATACCAATGACCTCCAGGCTGCAAGCCACTATATCATTATGGTATAACTCAAAAATATCGATATCTGTTTAAATATTGATTACTATGATCAAAATAAACCCAAAATTTTGGACTTACAGTTTTATTGTAAAGTTGCGAATAGTAAAAACCGAAATCTACTGTATAGGATGACGTTTTGTAAAGACATGTTTTGGAATTGTATACCGATATAATGTATTGAACATTTAAAATATATTAGTGCTAATATGTACATGAATGTATACTAGCCAACTTTGTCGGAAAATATCGACCCTAGTGGTACGAAAAGGGACTTAAGATCCATACAATTCAATTAGAAACAGAAGAACGATACCAAAAATACATCTTGGAACTTTTAAGTACAGATCCTTATAACAAAAATTATTATTTTTAGATACCTCAAGGGGTCTATTAAATCCCAATATTAAAGTTTGGTTTTATTTCTGAAAAAAGAAGGAAAAAATTGCAAATATGATAAAAAAATCGCCATTTTAATGATATTACATGAAAAGATGGTACAAATGCTGCAAAATTGTGGAACAAATGGGCCAAAAATATATAATTTCGGTTGATAGTAAGCCGTTAACACAATTTTAAGCAAAAAACCACTCGATTATAATTTTTGTGTTTCGTATAATATGGTCAAATATGAAATACAGGAAAAATTCGAATACTTTTGTGAGGCAATTTTATGAACTTTTTTTTTAAAATTTAAATCAATTTAGGTAAATGTAATTTTTCCAAATTTTAAAGAGTGTGATATTATACCTTAGGACTCTCTAGACAATATAAAAAATTTAATTGTTCATTTCACACACAAAAAATATTAAATTATGTTTCTTTTCAAAGTACAACCAAATTCGTACAGTGGTGGAACAAGTAATAGAAACGACTTTATTTAGTGGTGAAAACTAAATTTTCTCAAAAAGTACCCGTTAGAATTTGATGATTTGTATCTTAAATAAAAGGTATTTTGGTCTACTTTCCTATTATAAATGGTGTTTGTAAGTTTTTTTTGCTCCATCGTATTTTATTGGTATTTAAAAAAATTGGCATTGGAAAAAATAATAGAAACGATTCACAGTATTACACTGGGGACATAAGCTGAGATTTCTTAAATTGCGTTCTGTATTTATTTTTAAAAATTTGAATTGAAAATTATATTCCCAATATCAAAATATAATGTTTCCTCGGTTCTTTATGTTAACGTGTGTTTTTTTCAACGCCTGGTTGACCATATGAGCTCTGACGGCTGAATTGGGGCCACGACTTTCAAATTTTCTTAAATAAAAAGTTAAAACAGTGAAAGAAATTGCTTAACATTGATAAATTACTTAAAAAATTAGTTCTTGAAAAGATTTCGAGCCGAAGATGTTTTGAATCCGCTTATAGATAACGATAATCCACCGATTTTTGGCCCCAATTTTGAGCAATATTTCACATTTTGGCAATTCAACCCGTTCTTGGTTAAAATGGAGCTTAAATATCAAAGTATCTTGATGGACAGGTAAAACAAGATGAATTTAAAACTAAAATTTCAAGAAATGTAAAAATTTCGAAAATTAATTTTAAATTTAGGTATAGTACTGTTCGGGAATTAATACTAGTATAGACCCAATAAGATCTACTGCAAAAAATAAAATAGAATGTTTTTAACCGAAGGAAATAAAATATGTTTTTTATTTCATTACCTTTTCTAAAATCTAATACGTTTATTTTATGGAAAAAATTACAAAGAATATTCTTTCTGATGTTTTAATATAATAAGGTGCATTTTATCTGAACTTACGGTACAGTAGACTACCTAAAATTCGAACTGAATTTTTAAATTTTTTAGGTTTTGTGAACTTTTTGTGTTAAATTTAACTTATTTTAGCATTATTTCACAAGTCCATCAATATACTTTGATATTTAAGCTCCTTTTTAACCACCAAGAACAGGTCGAATTGCAAAATAGCGAAATATTGCTCGAAATTTGGCCCGAAATTCGGTGGATTGTCCTTATCTATAAGTGGGTTCAAAACTTTTTCTTCTCGAAATCTTCTCAAAAACTAATTTTGTAGATAATTTAACCATTAGAAGACATTTCTTTCAATATCTGAAATTTTTATTTAAGAAAACTTGAAAGTCGGGACTCTGATTCAGTTTTCAGGATCCATATGGTCAATGAAGTTTCGAAAAAACAAATGTTAACATAAAAATTAAAGTAAAAAGTATACTTTTATATTAAGAATTTCATTTATAATTAAAATTTTTAAAAATAAGTACAAAACGTAGTTTAAGAAATCTCAGCTTATGTCCCCAGTGTAATACTGTGAATCGTTTCTATTATTTTTTCCAATGCCATATTTTTTAAATACCAATAAAATACGATGGAGCAAAAAACTTACAAACTCCATTTATCACAGGAAAATAGACCTAAATACCTTTTATTTAAGATACAAATCATCAAATTCTAACGGGTATTATATATAATATATAATATATATAGTAAATTTATATAGAAAATTTAGTTTTCACCCGAAAATAAAGTCGTTTCTATTATTTTTTCCACCACTGTATATAATATCACCATCAGAAAGTTACTTGAACTTTCTTAATACAAATATTAGTATCCCGATGAAATTTTTAATATGTTCTTCAGATGAAAACCAACATCAATTATTTGATTTAATAATAGATTTCAATTCATATTTGATCAAAGTCTTCACAGAAAATACTCTGAATGTGTTTTGACCAGAGACAGAAAATAATTATTTATTTAGTTTATTCATTCTTATACAGAATCCTTGAAATTTTTGCTTAAAAAATCAGTATGAAAGAATCGTCCCAGAAATGTTTTGAATGTACCAAAAGATTTCAAGTGAGTGAAGATAAATATGCCGGGTTAAATACGTTTTTCATGTAAGAGAAAAAAACATCGCATGCGACAAAAAAGTATTTAATACTTGAAATAAGCGTATTTTCACATATTTGTACAGATTTTTACACATACAGGTCTGTCACACATTCCGATAGGAATGGTTTCAATTCCGTAGTTACTATTCCGATCGAATTTATTTTGCTTCTTTGGATTCCGATCGAATTTGTAAATCCCTAAATATTTTAAGTTGTCGGCTTTTTTGATTTTTGTGTGGCAATGATTAATGTAAAAGAACAGGGAAAAGAAAATACAAAAAATTTAATTAAAATACAAAAATAAGAAAATAAAAAAAATCTCAAAATGCCAGGAATTTCAATTGTTGCAGCAATCAATGCTCAGGAACGTCAAGAATCTGTTGAAAAACTACGTCGGAAAATATTGAGGGATGCTTCAGATCCTCTTTCATATCCCAGTGCAGTGTAAGCAATTTTAAAGTCTTTAATTTATTAAACTAATTCCTGTATCAGATTTGTTAGCTATTACCGCCTCAGCAAGGAGGCTTTTATTATGGTTTTGGAAAAATTGAGCCCACATCTCCAAAGTTCAACAATTCCTGTAATTATACAGTTGTCCACAACACTTAGGTTTCTAGCTACAGGTGCATTTCAAGGCGTTATAGGTATTGATCTCATATTTTTTATGGTAAACCTTCTTCAGTTCAATAATTCATTTCTAGCTAAAGATGTGGATATCAGTTTAGGTAGGAGCACAGTTTCAACAATAATGTGGAGAGTAATAAATGCAACTGAGAACATAATATGCCCACAATGGATAAAGCTTCAAATGTCAGCAGATGAAATACAAAATTCAAAAGCTCATTTTTTTAATAAATTTCATGTACCAGGGGTAATAGGATGTATTGATGGTACGCACGTCAAAATGAACAAGCCATCAGAAGACGAATCTTTATTTTTTAACAGAAAAGGATCATTTAGTGTTAATGCTATGATCGTAAGATAGATTTTTCATTAGTTTTCTTCTTAATAAGTAATATTATGTTGTTTAAGATATGTGATTACAAAATGAAAGTCTGTGCTGTGGATGCATGCAGACCTGGGTCTTGCCATGATTCGTTCATTTGGAATATGAGCAGAGCACGAACTTTTTTTCTGAATAATTATTCCAATGGAAATAAAAATTCATGGCTATTGGGAGATTCCGGCTATGGTTTAGAGCCATTTTTAATCACGCCATACAAAAACGTAACAATTGGAACGTTAGAGCACAAATTTAACCAAAAGCATGCATCAGCCCGCAATATTATAGAACGAACAATTGGGGTATTGAAAAGCCGATTTAGGTGCTTGCTTGGGACATTGCAATACACTCCACAAAAAGTTGTAAAGATAATAAATGTGTGCTGTGCTTTACATAACATTTGTAGAGAGTACAACGTAGAGTATGAGGATATTATAACGACGAACGAAAATGACGAGAATTATGATGAAGATGTAGAGGAGATATCTGGTAGAGATATGTTTAATGTTGCCCAACGAATAAGAAACAATATTGCTGCTCAATTGAATTAAAAACAGTGTTTAAAACAATTCAAGTATTATTATTATTTTAAATTAAATTAAAAATACTATTTAAAGAAACATTTTTGGAATCCATATGTACTTTAAAATAAGATTTCAATCATATGAGATCATTTAGAATTCAGAAGCTATAGGGAATTATTGACGCATTGATTTTTTGCGTTCTATTTCAAGTTTTAAAGATTCTATTTCTAATAATTTTAACTTCAATTCATTTTTCTCTTTTATCTGCTTTTGAGTTTCCTTATCATTTATTTTTCTGTCAGTAAAATGACTTTCCAAGATATTACATAGCCTATCTAATTTTTGATTTTGGCATCTTATTTCATCGCGTTGTTCTTCCATTAAATTAACTATAGATTTTAAGTAATTGTTTTCTTCTGCCAGAAGTTTATTTAAATCTGGTGTTAATGGTGTATGAGGATTGCATGGAGTTCGTGGTCTTTTACGTTTAGGGTCAGGAGATGGTGTTAGGCAAGGTCGCTTCTTTGATGATATGGTTGTATTTTTGTCTGCGTGTTCCTGATTTTCTAAAGCACTCCGAGGTGTTGAAGGTGCTATAACGTCTAAATCAGTTGAAGTTTCCTTATTAGAATCACACAACAAATTTTCTAAAACTGTTTCAGCAAAATCTTTGGATCCAACTAAGCCATCTACAGCTCTATAAATTCCTGTCAGCCTTGCTACCGATTCCTCTACATCCGATAATATGTATTTGTTGAATTGACCACCACCAGTTTTTTGGTTTTCTTTTTTATTGTCACACAATTTGTTTTTCACATACACCTTCCAATCAGCCCATGTTTTTTTCCAACCATTGCAATCCTTGGAAGGAGGCCCAGAGGAATTCAGTTTTTCCGTTAATTCTATCCATAGTGCCTCTTTTGTTACTCGGTCTCCCTTGACATACCCTTTGGCTATATCTTGATGTTGCTCCATAAAATCGAGGAAAATCTTTTCCTGTTCAGGATTTCTATGTTTTCCCCTAAAGAATTAAAAATGAATAACATTTTCAAAATAATTTTAAATTTATCTTACATTTTAAATTACTTTTCTTTTTTGTTTTGTTTTGTCTATGCTTTGTGTTGCCAGTATGTGAAATTCTATAAAACTCTTAGATTTACTATAGAAGAAAATGTGGTTTGCTCAAAAAAAAAAATTGTGGCAATACTACATTCCTAAAAGCAATTTTTGTTGAATTTTGTTTAAAAACTTCTAATTTTGTAATAAAATATACAAACATTTAAATAAAGTGCAATATAATAATGAAAAACAGTGTTCAAATGGTTTATATTTAAAGTTTCATAAGTTTTCTTTCATGTTAAATAATTAAAAACATCAATTCCACTTTCAAAACTAAAAGTGGTTTCATTCCGAAAAAAAATTTCGTTTTACTTATTCTGAAGAAGTAAAATACGGAATTAATTCCACTTTCGATCGGAATGGAATTCTGTGACAGGCCTGATAATTGTAAAAATAATGCACATATATCCTTAAAATTATAATTTTAAATTGCAGATAAAAACACTTTAAGAAATTCATTAAGTTATATGGCAAATATAAACCCTTCTATCTTAAAAATATGCAAAACACAAAGTCATCGAACTATCGAAATATGCAGAAGTTTTATCAAATACAAAATTTTTAAAGTTTTTGAAAATAAGTGTAAAATTATTAGTTTATGAGAGATGTGATCAGTGTACTTTCGCATCTCGGAGTACGCAACCCAGTGAAAAATACAGGCAATCAATTATACTCTTAAAAATTCTGAGTTCTTACAGTGACCACTATTTTTGAAAAAATATTTTTTTCATATATGAGTTCTTGGAGGGATGTGGTCACTGTGACCATATCCTTCGACCTCGGAGAGTGTAAACCAATGGAGAGCATAACCCATAGTTTATGCTATCTAACTGCGTTTTTAGTTTTTCCAAATTGAGTTTGTGGAAATTTATAAGATTTTTTGAAAATTTTATTTTTTCATATATGTATGAGTTCTTGGAGGGATGTGGTCATTATGACCATATCCTTCGACCTCGGAGAATGAAAACCAGTGGGGAGCATAACCAATAGTTTATGCTATCTAACTGCGTTTTTAGTTTTTCCAAATTTATTTTGTGGAAATTTATAAGATTTTCCGAAAATGCAATTTTTTCATATATGAGCTCTTGGAGGGATGTGATCACTATGACCATATCCTTCGACCTCGGAAATTGAAAACCAGAGGAGAGCATAAATAATATTTATGCTATCTAACTGCGTTTACAGTTTTTCCAAATTGAGTTTGTGGAAATTTATAAGATTTTTTGAAAATGTAATAGCTTCATATAAAAATCCTTTGAGGGATGTGGTCACTATGACCATATCCTTCGACCTCGGAGAATGAGAACCAGTGGAGAGCATAAACCATAGTTTTTGCTATCTAACTGCGTTTTTTTTTTTCATACACACTGTTTTTTTTTTTTTTTTCTCGGGGGAGTTTTCCAGATTTTTTCCTACCGAGCGCGTCCCCGGGTGGCGGATAGGGGGTGGTGATGGACCATCTGTCCTCTCCCAGCTTTAATTTCACTTAAGCTGAGGGAGGGCAGATTGTCCACCACCTGGGAATATTATATTCCCCGCGGACCAAAAAACTGGAAAAAAAAAAAAAAAAAACAAATATGGAAAATAAAAATGAAAAGATAAAAGTTACGGTGCAGGGCCTAAATAACCCAGTACCGGCGGCAAGTGTTGATCTACTCGCGAGTCACGTGTCGTCGTCATCCTGCAATCGTGAGCAGAATACTACTACGGAGGTGGGTACCTTGGCCTCCGTGGCGGACAATGCGTCAAGTGTACAGCATGCCGCTGGCAAAAATATAGGGGTGAAAGAGAAGGATGTACTCGGAGAGAGCTCTAAGCTACCTCAGCCTTTAAATATAGGTGAGGGTTCCGACTCTGAATCCTCAGATGATAATAAAAATAATACCATTATAGCAAATCCCAAAAAGGATGAAGTAGAGCAAATGGTGAAAGAGGTGAGTGATAGCATAGCTAAACTACCTATTACTAAGAAAAGACTTTCTGGAGCACAGAGGAGGAAGTTGAAAAAGATGCTTCAGGAAATCATAGTTAGTCAATCCCACGACACTCCAAAGGAAAAATCGGACTCTCTCACAAGATCTGAGGCAAAAAGGATCAGGTCTCCCGAGGAGTTGACAACTGAGAATAAACCTAAGAAGAAAAAGAGCTCCCCGTCTTCTAATACACAGTCGAAGCCAAGCCATACTTCACTCAAAGGAATCTCAAGTGAGAATCCTGCGAGTAAGGGTGACAACGCCAAGCCAGATATTCCGAAGACGAACACGTCGGCGAAATCAACCTCGAAGGTAAGGGAATCTCAAAAGAAGCCCCGAAAAACGAGGAAGGAGAAGCTAGACGGAGGAAAAGGAAAAGAGCCGCCATCTTACGCCAAAGTTGCCAGAAGTAGGCACCGGGACGATCTCTGCTATGCAGTTTACGATGCCGGTAATCCGACAGGCAAAATTCCAATAGACCAACAGAGTAAAATAGAAGACCTGGTCAACAATAAGATAGTGGACCATGCAATCGCTTCAAAGGGCAAACAACCAATAGAGAGCGAGAGCTGCGAGTTCAGCATGGGCGTGATGTTGATGAGGTTGGCATCTCACCAATGTGTTAGCACCCTAAAGAACTTGGTGGAAAGTATCCCTCCTCCCTGGGACGGCGCTAGGCTGGGACTGGCAAAGAAGAGCGAGCTTCCGGTGCTCCTAAAGTCCACTGTCTACATAAAAGGATGGGGCAGTAAACTGGCTAATGAACGTATACTGGAAATTCTTGGAGGTCAAAATGCTGAGCTGGCCGTGGAAAAATGGGATGTCTTTTACAGGAAAGAAGAACCTGAGGGAACTTTATTTGTAATAGGTATCGACCAGGTACCAGGTACCAAATATGGAAAATAAAAATGAAAAGATAAAAGTTACGGTGCAGGGCCTAAATAACCCAGTACCGGCGGCAAGTGTTGATCTACTCGCGAGTCACGTGTCGTCGTCATCCTGCAATCGTGAGCAGAATACTACTACGGAGGTGGGTACCTTGGCCTCCGTGGCGGACAATGCGTCAAGTGTACAGCATGCCGCTGGCAAAAATATAGGGGTGAAAGAGAAGGATGTACTCGGAGAGAGCTCTAAGCTACCTCAGCCTTTAAATATAGGTGAGGGTTCCGACTCTGAATCCTCAGATGATAATAAAAATAATACCATTATAGCAAATCCCAAAAAGGATGAAGTAGAGCAAATGGTGAAAGAGGTGAGTGATAGCATAGCTAAACTACCTATTACTAAGAAAAGACTTTCTGGAGCACAGAGGAGGAAGTTGAAAAAGATGCTTCAGGAAATCATAGTTAGTCAATCCCACGACACTCCAAAGGAAAAATCGGACTCTCTCACAAGATCTGAGGCAAAAAGGATCAGGTCTCCCGAGGAGTTGACAACTGAGAATAAACCTAAGAAGAAAAAGAGCTCCCCGTCTTCTAATACACAGTCGAAGCCAAGCCATACTTCACTCAAAGGAATCTCAAGTGAGAATCCTGCGAGTAAGGGTGACAACGCCAAGCCAGATATTCCGAAGACGAACACGTCGGCGAAATCAACCTCGAAGGTAAGGGAATCTCAAAAGAAGCCCCGAAAAACGAGGAAGGAGAAGCTAGACGGAGGAAAAGGAAAAGAGCCGCCATCTTACGCCAAAGTTGCCAGAAGTAGGCACCGGGACGATCTCTGCTATGCAGTTTACGATGCCGGTAATCCGACAGGCAAAATTCCAATAGACCAACAGAGTAAAATAGAAGACCTGGTCAACAATAAGATAGTGGACCATGCAATCGCTTCAAAGGGCAAACAACCAATAGAGAGCGAGAGCTGCGAGTTCAGCATGGGCGTGATGTTGATGAGGTTGGCATCTCACCAATGTGTTAGCACCCTAAAGAACTTGGT